GCTTTGATCAATACTTGCGTAAGCTACATAGTACTTTACAAATCTCTCATACATTAGTTGAAGTGAGTACAATTTTGATCAATGAATAATGAAGGCGAGGCGAGTCACACATATATAAAGTCTAGTAATTTCTAAAAGCGAGAGACAGCAATTGTGCTGCATTTTAATCCGATGATAAAATTGTGAATAATATATATGACTCACTTCACCGAGAACTGGGTTGTCAAAATTAACTTAAATAACTGAATCATCAAGTCAATCTTTCAAAGCAGTCAAGTTACATCACTGACTGACGATATTACAAAAGCTAAACAGGATATACAACTCGCATTAAGATCTATTATTGATTTAAATCTATGGTTTCACTTCAGACCTTAGAATAATTTACCAATCGTCTTTCATCATTCAGTCCACCTAGAAAAATCAAGATTGACTCTTCGTTTTCTCAAGAGGATATTCTAACTAATGCCTTATTTTAAATTCTAGTTTGTGGGTCATTATCATTTTCTAAGTTTTTTTTTTTGCTAAAATGTATTATTGTTCATTAATCCAGCTAGAACAGGGTTTACGTCAATAATGCACTGGGTGGGATTTGATTGCAAGTCAAACGCTTTACCCATTACGTTTCGGCCTACTTATTTTACTCTAGTATTATAACATAATTTATTGTTGAATCACAATAACATTATTGATTGTTGAATCACCTCCTTCACTATTACTTTTGACCAATTTGCGAAAAAGACAAATAACTTTGTAGATATACGTTCCTACTTATTCTCTACATATTTCTCTTAACTTCTTAGTTTGTTTGTGAAGGAAACATTGTTTGTGATAAATATAATGTTTATATACTTAAATCATTTTGTATTACCTTCATTCTATATCTGATTTACTCAAAGGCTCCATTGAAAGGTCAGTAGAGAGAGAGTATTCCTTTGGCATTGAGTACACTATGCGTGATATTTAAAATAAAGTGAAATTAATAAACTTGTGAATACTGATTTTAGAAGTCTTGTGGGGTCTTCTCTAAATTATTTAAATGTCGAATGATTCCATGCTACTATTAACTTGATCTTTGAGATACATACAACCACGCCTATATCCCTGACAGCATAGGCAGTTGTGTATTACATTAAACAGTTGTGTATTTACATTATACAGGTGTATATTATATTAAACTGCCACATATTGCTTACTATAATTTCATTCATAATTTAGTATTAAAATTAAATAAACGTAACGTTTAACAATATTTTTTACCGTTTAACAATAAATAATATATTTATATCTACATATATTTCGAACATCTGACACACAGCGCCATCTAGTCTCAAACCAAGCAGAGATAGTATTATGAAAGCTAGATTGGTTGATAGAATACTTTTATACTTTTTTTATTTGTAAATACATACATATTAAAAACTAAAGTGTTTATTTATTGTTATTTAAGGTTTACTAATTTATAAAACTGAATGTACAACGTAATTTAAATGTAGTTATGTTTTAATACAGTTATGTATAAAGTCGAATAAAACCGACATAAAATATTGATCAAGTTCTCAACCTATTTCTCATGTTAGCATAAGCTCATGTTTTTTCAAGAAGATGTTCACAGCATTATAGACTGATCTTATCATTTCCAATAACTTATTGACCTGGTGAGAACACCATAAAATAGTCTAGAAAACCCTATGATTATTTAGGAATAATGAATAAAAAAAATAAAAATCGTCAAAATCGGTAAAACCTAAAATCGCATTATATAAAAGTACTCGAATGATTGATTTTTATTCTCTGCTGTTTTAATATTTGAATCTCCCAATTGTAAATAGACGCAACCCATGCTAAAGTGTATTCGACACGGGTTTGTATTGAACACAATAAAATACAATTGGCTATTTCATCAATGCGACTCTATTATTCTAATTGGGGTCTATGTCGTTAAAAGGGATAAGTAAACAAAATAGGCAATTTTCTTTATTCCCATTTGAATTTTAGAAGCAAATGCAATTTCATGTGACATCAAGAGCTATAAACCTCTAACATACTCCGTTTACCAAGTCAGATGTATGTAATGTAAACTGTCATCTAATGTAGAAAACTAAATATTTAAAATGTCACATCGCACTCCTATCATTTATTTACACTATATCACTTTATTACACCTTTGCGCTTCTTTTTAGGTGGAGAAATAACAGGGAGTTGGAAGTTTTCTAGCTCACTGTTAGAGCTTTCCCTGTGTATGTCACCTGTGTGAGTCTTCTGAAACATCCTGCTTTTGACGATGCTATAGAAGCTCTAGATTTAGAAGAATAAGAACTCATCGATGCCATGTCATTATCAATCATCATACCATTTCTTTTAGAAACAATAACAATTAAAAAAAAATCAAAAGCAAAATGACATTAAGTTATAACGAACAATTTCTATGGTGTAAATCCATTTGTAAATCTAAATTGACACTAGACGAAAAGTGTCAATGTCGCGTCAAAATATTGAATTCAATATAAGGTAACTTTGTACCAATCATTGCATGCACGATATTATACGGTTAGTTAAAAATAAAGTCTAATTAAATAATAATTCCAGCAACTCCATAAAACCCCACCTGTCTAATTGAAACAGTGTCCTTACACAAAATTTAGAAGGGTGATATAGTTATTATTCTATAGAATGGATCGTGTGATAAAACTTTATATTTTTACCACATGTAGTGAATGGTTGGCCCATGAATATATGCATAGGTTGGCCCGTTTATGTACAAATAAATTGTAGACCATGTAACTAAACGCTAAGTCAATATGAATTTCGATTTAGTTCATATTATTTGTAGTTTTTTCTTCTCTCACTCAACGACAACTCACTAACTGATTCTTAAGCGTAACAAATGTTGTACGAAAGGTAACATATTTAAAGCAAACTTAGTTGACATTATATTACGATACATACACTTTCAAAGACTTTCTACACGCAATATTGACTGACCTGTTGGTCTAGTGATTAGTGACTAGTTGGAGGGTATGGGTTCTATGTCATCCAGGACAAATAACTGTGTGATGAGCCCGATCAGTTTTTGTTCTGTGTCTGGGTATTATTCATCTAAAATATGTATGTATTTAGAAATAAATAAGTATGTTTATAAGCAGTCCGGTCACCATCTTGGTCTAGTTTGGGGTGAGACAGCCGTGTGCGACAGTTGTGAAGTTATAATTATTATTTAAAAACTTATAATCGATTGATAACTTTAGCGTAAATGGTTGAAAAATATACACATACGAGTAGATTATTGAACCATACATAATGCACGTTTATATGTTTAAGGTACTTTGCTGATTCGCTTAGAACACATAGCCCAGTGTGATTTGCATGTCTCAATGTACACAGTTATAAATAGTGTTATCAGTCTATAATTTTCTACAATATGTTTTTTTTTATTTATCATCAATACATAGCAGAGTATAGTATTTGCCTGGCTTGAGAACACATGTCCTTGTGTAGGGTATCTTAGGTTATTATTAGTATATAAGTAAAGTTTCAATTACCTACTTTCTTAATAAGTCAGTAGCGTCAAGTGAACAAATGAAATCTCTCCAACCTTCGGACAGCTTCCACTAACAAAGCTGGGAAAAAATGAGTTGAATAGGAACTTTAGATAAGAGAGATGAGATAAAAATATATATATTACCTAAGTAACGCTCACAAAAAAGTGTGTGTGTCAGCTCCGACGCACGACCGGGATTAACTCGTTAAGAACGATTCGGCTGCACACAAGTAAACAAGTTATACACACACATGTGGAAGGTGCGCACAAAAAACGTAACGAGGTCATTCGATTACTAAATTTTACTCTTCATATTTTTTTCATACCGGGCGCCTTACATGAAAATCGATTCTTGTTTGCATAGGAAGGTATTTTTTTAGAATATTGTGCTACTTATTATGGAAGTACTACATTACATACTTACATGTGTAATGTGAGGTTTTTTATTTAATTAGAATTGAGATCAATTGAGAAGAGATCAATTAGAATTTACCTTGAACACTGATTGTGTTCAAGGTAAATTCTAATTGCTCTCTTTGCAGCACTTTGTGTAACTAATAAACTGGTTTTCAATATTATGTAGAAAATTATAGGTTTGGTATGGATAGTAGTTATGAAAATTGCAACAACGTTATCCGTTTGATAGTTTAAGTTATAAGGCTATGGCTTCAAGTAATAACACTGTAGATCTCTACCTCTGTCTAAAATCAAGTAATACGAAACTAGTATAATAATTATATATTCTCCAAAAATATATATAATTCTCCAAATTACAATCTATACCAATATTACGAAAAGTTTGTTAAAGTTTGTTCGTATAAAGCTGAAAAGTTTGTTTGTTTGGTCGAACGCACTAATCTTAGGAACTACTGGTTCAATTTGAAAAAATCTTTCAATTTTGGATAGCCCTTTTATAAACTAAGGCTATATAACATTATTCTACTACCAATAGTAGCTGAGCATCAATATTTTTTTTTTGCAGAAACGAGCAAAAATATTCTTTTAGACGCAGAAAAAGTTGCTCGGGTCAGCGAGTACAATATAATACTATAAATATCAATGTATATTTGTTCGTATTTTATACGTTGCCAAGAATTTGTAAGAATAGAGATAAATACAAAGGACATTTCTAATTTAGAAAAATATTTTAATTTACACACCTGTTTCCACGGCTACTGGAAACCGAGACGGCATGAGGTCTTTGGTCGGGCTAGAGTTACCAAGTAGAATAAATGTTTTTACTTTAATGTAAGCGCGTTGTTAAAGTACAAATAAGAATCATGACACGCCGTAGAATTACTACTAAAAGACGCAAAGAGTTTTTTGTTACCGTTTCTTAATTGATGCTAGTCACCAAGCCTTCAATTTGTCTCTAAATTTTTAACCCGAAATAACAAACATTGCCATGGTATATATTTTATAACTATAATAACATTATTTCCAGATACTAAGTGTATTTATGATCGGTGCGCTAGCCGATCCTGCGCCTGGTCGAGTCCCGAGGGTATACAATGCCCTCATCACTTCAAATCAGAATTTGGAACCCAGCAAGGCCTACCCGGTCTACCAGCCAGTATTACACGATGCCTTCGGTTTCCCCTTTCAACCTGCGGTCTTGTACGGTGGTGATTTAATCGGCAACGTAAGTTCTTTTTTCTATGTTTTTGGAACGAAGTTCCATATCGCGCGTTACACGCTCTAAGCAGATCGGAGCAAGACCGAAATATGTATAACAAGACTTTTTTCCGACACTCCTTGTCCCAAATCATTCAGTGTTTAATTTATAAGTATTTATTTTACATATAATAAATATATATAATCTTAAAATTTTCATTTTAACTCTATTGATACTTGACTTGATATTTTATAAAATAAATTATAATGACTGTATAGCAAACGTCTACCAAAAAGCGAAAGGAACTTCTTTCCCACCGGGGATCCATAGACCCCTCACGCCGTTTCATTCATATTTTCACCTGTTTCTACTTCTACGAATCCCTCTCGGGTTTAAGCTCCGGTAACTTCACTCACTCGGTGAAAAACAACTAAAGATTTTGTTTAACACCGGATTTCTGCATGGTATCATGTCGGTCGAGCCGGCCATTTCTTACGAAGCATGGCTCTCCTACGGTGATTCATATCAGGGGTAAAAGTATGAAATTCCCGATTTGCACTGAAAAATTGAAACTCGTGATTGTCTAAGATGTAACATATTTATTTAATCAAAATATTAACCTTCATTATCTATACATTGCTGCCATGTAAACGGTAGTTCATGTATGCCTTTACGATAGAAAGGAATCTAGATTCGACAAACTCTGTGAAAGCATTTAGTACTGCCTCCTGTTAGGATTTTTTTATCAAGTAGAAAATTGACCCGATTACGAAAAAATGGTAGCAAGGTCTGGCGAGTACAGAGGATAATGTATGGTTTCTAACTGCAGCTCCGATAGAGTTACTACCGGTACCGGTATGCAGTGCTAGGTCTTGCGTTATCATGGAGCAATAATGGTGAATATCCATTCAAGATTCGGGGCTGTTTCCTGCCAGTTTCGCCATCATTGTTCGAAGTTCGACACAGTAAACATCTGATGTTATTGCCTGACCAGATCTGAGAAAGCTATAGTGAATAATACTATGAAGAGACCACCAAACAGTTACCAACATCTTTTTATTGGTAAGGTTTGCTTTAGGGCACTATTGCGGCGTTTGACCTGCGTTTAGCCATTACATTTTCGCTTAAGGTTATCGTAAACAATCCACTTTTCATCACATTTTACAATCCGATCCAATATTCCTTCATTTCTGTACCGATTCAACAAGGCATCATAAGTTTCAACACGAATTTCTTTCTGCAGATCAGTCAAATCATGAGGCACTCGTTTTTTTTTATTGATTCGATGCAAATGAGTCAATCAATATTGTAGTTAGGATAATGTTAAACCATACCGCTAATTCCTGAATAGTTTGACTCGGATTGGCTTCCACCGTCTCCATCAACTCAGCGATATTCACCTGTGTACGTGGTTCGTTCTTCAAGTTGAAGTTTTCAGTACGAAAGCGTTTAAACCAAAAACGTTTATTAGCAGTCTACTCTCAATGCAGCGTTGATATTTGAGCCGTTTCTGCCGCGTTAGATCCGCGTTGAAACTTGTATTCAAAAATGACTCGGATTTTTGCAGTATCCATCTTTCACGCCTGAGCTGAATAAAAAAAAAATGAAAGTCGAAAATCGAATGCTGCACTTTTATTCAAAGAAGAACCTCATAGGTATCTTGTGAAAAAAGTTTCACACGAAACTCTCACACCATGAAGGTTTTATGTCAATTCAAAATATCTATAGCCTACCGGATCAGCAAGCTGAAGTGGCAGTGGGCTGGCCACATTAGCTGCAGACGGACAACCGTTGGGGAAAACGAGTTCTTGAGTGGAGACCGCGTCTCGGCAAACGTAGTGCAGGACGCCCACAGGCCAGGTGGAGTGACGATTTGCGCAAGATGGCTGACAGGAGCTGGATGCGAGAAGCCCAAAATCGATCTAAGTGGCGTGCAATGGGAGAGGCTTATGTCCAGCAGTGGACTGCGATAGGCTGATGATGATGATGATGATGATAAAGTATCTCTTACTATACAACGGCAATTTCATACTTTAACCCCTATTATTTGGATATAAACAAATTGTTAATTTTAGCATTCTTTACTTCCTTAATGTTTTTCTTACTTAATATTCATCATTTTGCAGGTTTATATTTAATATGTAAATGTATATAATTAGTTGTTGATTTCAGGGTATTCTTCCGCAGCCAAATTTGCCACCAAAAGAATCTCAATCTCCTAAAACATCACCGTCGGCCACACCTGAGTCACCAAAAGACTCATCTGAAACCTCTACAGAATCTCCGGCCAAAACTCCTGAACCTGAAAAACCAGAAACCGATAGCAATGATTCTCAACCGGCTCCTCCAGTCTCACCCACAACGGAATCTCCTGTTATCCTAAATGCATTCGGACTACCGCCACAGGTGTTACCTCTTGGTCACGTAAATCCGGTATACAATGCCTTACCGCAATTCAATCCTTTTACATATCATTATCCAGGATTGAGATTTTATGATCCGTATGATCCCTTTAGTTTCAGTGTACCCTCAATTTACCGACCTTTACCCAATCTATTAGGACCTCACATTTCTGCAGGAGTTCCATTAGCCATTGCTAATAAAAAAGCTAGCACTACTCCCGCTTCCTCTGAATCCACTGATCAAACTCCGCCTCCTGAACCGAATGATCTCAGCATTTTGAATTATTCATCAAAAGATCCTGCTATACCTAACGTGCCTCCACCTCCACTCCCTCAAGGTGGCCTGAAGTCGGATGAGTCTGAATCGTAAATGTGATAAATAAAATTGTTAATTAAATAAACTTACCATTGTTAAGTATTTGATTTACCCAAATTCGAAGTGGATAAAATAGGCATTAATTTAAGGTTCTGACAGTTCGATTAAAATAGGTATTTCTGAACTTGATATGTACTGAGCTAAGCTACAGAGTATTCAATTCTATACTACACTCATATTATCCAAGTAATTTCACTACAGTGAAAACACGTAATTAGATTATTTCATTATAAATCTATAATTTAGACACTTGGGTTACTCTCTTCTCTAACAACTTTAGTTAAACCTAATAAATAATTTATGGTAGATGGTAGAGTAACTTTGTACATTGATATTATTATAGCAGACTGGGGACCTTGTGTCAACTAGGGTGAATTTACGTGCGTTTAGGCGATTCTGCCATACATATTATAGAAATCAAATATACTCGTAGCTCACCTAGGACCCGTAATATTTTGTGGCCGTGGTGCTTCCCTGTTTAAAAGGGTGTATGTCTATTTTACTTCATTTTGTCTCCCGCTTTGCTAAGGAGGGAAGTGGATTTACAACTCCTCCAATTTTCTTCTGATTAATTTCGTTGCGGGTTCCAAGACAGTTTAAATCCTTCCTGGGACTTCCCGAGTGTCATAACTCGGTGTGGGTGGGATTAGTCCCAATATAGCAGACTGATGATGACTTATGTTTTTTTACTGGTTAATTTAAAATGGCAAGCGAATGAGATTTTTATTAGTCAGTTATTTAAATAAGATCTGTCTAACGACGAAAATTTACCAAAGATTAATGTAGAGAGTTATTAACTCAAGTAAGTTTTAGGTCTGATTCAAAGTACACATTGAAAACCGTAAAGGAAAACGGAAATATCTCTATCCCAGACTGATTTACCTCTGATTTATCATTTTTTCGAGATTATGTAGCTAAGGGTAATAAAGCTTTATCATAAATTCCATCCAAACCTCCTTTCTAAGGAGAGGCCTATGTCATAAATTCAGGAACTACTTAAGGAAAAACACGCTAAACAATACCTATTAATGTCTTGTAACAACGATGCAAAGCCCTCATTTGTCTTGAATATAGGCAAGTTTCTTGTCTGACTGTCATGAAGGTCTGTAAATCAGTCTGCAATTATGTTAAGGTTTAAGTTATACTGAGATTTTTAAAAGGTTCACTATATTCTTAGAAATGTTTTTAACTAAAAAAAAACCTTACTTTATAAAATGTAATAATCGTTAAGCATTTGCTGTGTCTTTCACAGCTCTATAGCCATTTATATATTTATCTCTAATTTTATCTTACGTTACATTACATTACAATACTAATGATAGATAAATATATCACATTCAATATGAGACTTCATAAAAACAGGCAAAAACCACTTGTAGAAGTGAAAATAGAACTAGCGCCTAGAGTATTAATAGCAGATTTTGGCAAAACACATCGTAATACTCGTCTGTCTATATTTGACCATATCTGGTACAGACGACGTTGCGCGTATATAAACACAAGTGAATCCCTTGGGAGAATCGAGATAGCCCTGAAAACAGTAAATCAATTAAAATAGTACAAAGAAAAAACAATTAGAGTTTGGCTGGCAATCGAATGAATGTTATAATTTCAATAATTAAAAATTTTTTTTTTTTTTTTTTTAATTATAATAATTTGACGACTGGATGGCGTAGTGGTTTGTGTAAAGGACTGCTATTCCAAAGGTCGCGGGTTCGATTCCCGCTCAAGTCAAACATTTGTGTGCATGAACATTTGATGTTTGATTTGGTCTGGGTGTTTCTATGTAATATGTATGTATTTACAAAAAAAAAAGTATATATGTATTTATATCAGTTGTCTAGTACCCATAGTACAAGCTCTGCTTAGTTTGGGACTAGATGGCGTTGTGTGTATGTGGTAGAATATATTATTATATTATATTATTATTATTAATATATACACCATACAGAGACCCCAGTACTGGAGCTGCTCGTATGTCGTGCACCGTATTACATCTTCAAATCAAGTCAAAGACATAAAATTATATTAATATCATCTAAGGATGTGCTTTGGATGAGCATCAATCATAGTTCCATTTTGATACGAGAATAGAAATCAATTAAAATTGACTGCAAAAATGGTTTTATATAAATTAATCTAATAAAAGCGCGTATAGTCTATAACATAAGATGTTGACAAGTGCTTAAAGTGTTGAAGGTGTGAACATGACAGATATGACATAACTAAAAACAGCATTGTATTTAATATAAATGACAGATGCAACTCAAACAAAATGGAATATAGTTGTGCCAATTTAACAACAACAAAAAGAAACAAAAATTTGAATTTGGAACCATAAACAAATCATCCATTCTGCTCTGTTTAGTTTGAAACTAGATGGTCACTACCTGCTTCGTTCCCACTGATGACAAATGGATAAAATTCCATGTTTTCAGTTCTGACCTGGAGCAACTCTTTGCGAAGACCTCTTGCTTTGGACTTTGGACTTTGGACTACGATCCCTTAGACCTTTTATTTTGGATTTTGTTGAATGATCATCGATTTATTTTTCACGATAGTAAGTCGTATAAGGCCTACACGTATAATGCATGTAAACTGTGACATTTTTATTAATACCCTGCATTGGAACTCTACCCCGAGAGCCACTGCTATAATATGTAACGGGCTATGACATTAATATGATACCTTGGATGGGCCAAACATAAACAGAGTATTACAGCACCGGCAGGTTTTCTAAATGATATTGTTATAAGAGATGATGTAGAAATGTCTAAGGAAAAAATTGTTCAAGGATTTAATCTTTATACTTTGTATATTTTTTATCATATAGGTAATAATGTATAAAAATCAGAATACAGTGATTTTTACGGTTCGGAATATCTTCTAAGTATAACGACCGCTTTTTGTTAATACAGTACCTTTCATAATTGAAGTAGCAATAGGAAAAACTTTTCTTTAGACGGCAAATAATTACACAAACTGCAATTGGTAGCGTCTGTAACGTATATAACACCTAGCACCTTTCAAAATTATAATGGCAAAATGCTTTTACTACGAATGGCAGCCTCAGCGCCACCTCGGATCAACGATGATGAAGCATTTAATAATTTCTTTACAAAAAGTGATGATATGTCATCAAAAAAAAAGTATGAAAATGGGAACCAAGTTCACTAACAAAAGCTTTCGTGGTTGTCAACCTCGACAACAAAATAACTGATATTTAAACGGGTGCCAAGTTCTATACATCCTGATATTTGTTTATAAGAACAACAACGTCTGGCCTGCATGGTATAGTAGGCTAAATCCTTCTTTCTAAGGAGAGGCCTATTTCCATCAATGGACTATTAAAGGCTGTTGACGATGGTAATGATCATACAACATTCTAAAATAAGTTTAAAACACCATTCCTTGTATTTTTTGCTACAACAATGTTTTCTATTTTAAAGTAACTTCTTGGATTTCAATTTCTTGCCGGTTCTATGTAGTACTGAAGAAAAAATGTCAGTTTAAAGACTTCGAAAAAGAACAAAATAATACCTACACACGTGTGATGCAACAACGATGCAAAGCACTCATTTGTCTTGCATTAGTACTTAGGTAAGTTATCTGGGATGACTGACGTGAAATTCTATAATTGACTAAATTGATATTTTTTTTAAATTTAATACGATCCTAAAAAGATTATAAATAAAAAACAAAACCCTACTTTAAAATTTTTATTATAGTAAATCATTTTACTATGAGTTTCACAGATGTGTAACCATCTATATATATCTTCAATTTAATATTAAATTACAATACTAATAATAGATAAATATATCCCAGTTTATATTAGGCTTCATAAATGACGGCAGAAACCACTCGTAAAAGTGGTAATAGATCTGACGCCCAGAGTATTGATAGCGGATTTTGGAAAGACACATCGTAAAACCCGTTCGTTTATATTTGACCATATCCGGCACAGAAGACGTTGAACGTACATAGATGCAAGTGAAATTCTTGGGAGGATCCAAATAGCCCTGAAAACAATAAAGTAGGTAATAAAACTGTATAAAGAGAAAACATTTAGAGTTTGGATAGCAATCGAATGAACGTTATGATTTCAATATACATACATTTAGAAGCTAAAAAACAATAGCTTATGCAAAGGTAGCTATAGCGAGTAATTTACGAATCATTGGTGTTTTAACGGTTTAAACGCATTAGTAACAACTTATGATCTCTAAGATGTGCTTATTAATCTCTATTTTTGCAATACTTATACTAAATTAACCTCCTTTTTATGGAGAGGCCTATGTCGAGCAGTGGACTATTAAAGGCTGTTGATGATGATGATCCTAACTTATAAAAAACGTAAACATATATTTATGACAGGGAACTGCCGGTAGTCATACTGATGATCCTGATCTTGAGAATGATGATTTTTTTAAATTTAATTTTAAAACAATTATTTATATCAGTTTAAGGATTTAATAAGCATACTAATAACGTGCCACTGAAAGAAGAGAACGATTATTTGCAGCAGTAGGTATGTCTTGTTGGCTCTATATCTGATCATAGGCATACTTATGTTTACAAATAGAACCTTTTACGAGCCTATTACCTTAATTACGAGCTTTCCTTTAACATCTTCATATGTTATACGATCGTGTATAGCTAATGTTTTATATTTAGTAGCACACTTTCCGTAATAATATTCGCTATGTATCCAATCTGAAAAAAATAATTGAAACGAAGTGACAGTTTAATACTTCAAACTTATATCTTTGATTAGAGAGTTTGTACTACTAACCAACAAGATTTCTAAGACCTTTGCCTACATATATATTTATTACTAGGTACGTACTTAAGGGTTGGGTAGGTAGGGAGGGAGGTCGCGTCACCTACCGACTGACGCAGGTACTCACTGGGCATGGTTGCTTCGGTGAGTACCTGAATCGGATTGGACGCGAGGAGACGGCACAATGCCAGCACTGCGGAGCTGACTGGGA